CATGTGTAGATCCCATCAACAAGATTAGAGATGGACATAAGGGTATTTTGTCATGAAAAATATGGTTGACATTATTAATGCGTGTATTGTTAGAAGATCCAGTGAGGTAGTATTATTACCATTTAAGTTTGGTTAACTCATCCTTACAAAACAGGTTTGTAAGGTGAGGATTTTCGTCGCTTATAAGAATATGTTAAGGCTACATATTGTCCAGTTTGAGACTCTTAATGCATTCCTAACGCCTATAACTATCGAGTTTGATGCAAGAATGTAAATGGTGGGTGACCCGATAGCAAAAACTTGATAATAATTGTTCCCTTAGATCTTGAACCAAACTCTCATACCATTTTTATGTTGGGTTTTACCAAAATCATCCATACAAAACTGGAATCTAAGGTGAGGATTACTAAAATTTTAATATGGTATTATAGCCTTGTTTAAGATCTGTTGAGCCATGTGCTATTAAGTTTTTTCTATCGAGCCATCCACTATTTATATAAATGCATCAAGTCCAATAGTATTGGTCATGAAGGGGTGTGTTAGAGTCTCACAATAGACAATATATGGCTAGAACATATGTTTATAAGTGAGGGTAATACTCACCTTAAAAGCTAGTTTTGTTAGGAAGAGTTAGGCCAAAAATAAAATCTAAGATGATATTAAATCCCGATTCCAAATCCTTTAGGTCACTTGATATTAGGTTTATTTTATCAGACCACCCATCATTTATATCTATCCACCAAGCCCAACAGTGTTAAGTGTGGTGAGGTGTATTAATAGTCTAAAATCAGACAATATGTGGCATGGACATATGTTTATAAATGTGAGTAACCTTCACCTTGCAAATCAGTTTTATAAGGATGAGTTAGGCCAACATCAAATTTTAATATGGTATTAGGGTCTATCGATCTGGCCACCCATCATTTATTACACACATCAAACACAATAATATTGGACGTGATCAGGTGTATTAGAAAACCAAGTCTCACATATCGATAACTCGGGCCACCCACAATTAATGTACACACACCAAGCTTTTTTTCAAGAAGAATGATGACCGGACTCAATGCTCGTATCTCTTATCACATATTTTCTTCTATTTGGAACAATATTAAAACCAAAATATCTGACATTAAAAACCATGCTTGTTGGTTGGTTAGTGTGGTTCCAAGTCAATTTTTAGACAGATAATTAAACATGCTCTTCTTTGGCTCAATCCCTTAATGTCTCTATTTTTCTTCATCAACATCTTTATGCCAAAGTTAAAGATTTGTTAACAAACAAACAATGAACTATACTTCAAGAACAAACCTATCCAACATACTCAATATTATTTATCAGGTTCACATTCCTTTAGATTACAAAGAAGATAAGGTAATATTGCCTAAGTAATTTATCTTTCATTTTGTAACATGCCAAAACATGAGTTAGTCTAAGAAAATTAGCGCAAATGTATTTCTCCCTATAAATCACCATTAGTTTGGAGAAAGTTCCACAACAAATTTCCAACTAATTAGAACCTCAAGATTAGAGACTGTATAATTCCTTCTATTTGAAGCCTATACAAGAAATCTACAGAAACACTACTTCACTTGTTCAATAGTGCTCTCTTGTTCTTTTTATTTGGAATTGGTTGACATCAAAATAAACACTACTATGAACCTTTTCCCATTACTAAATGTATGAAAATCTTTGATAGGCGTTGGCTCTTAGGGTAAGTTAGGCATGTTTTCGTCAATTGTATACTCTTAATGTTATATGACATTGCAAAAATTAGAAGAGATTCAATAACAAAATGATTGACTAGAAATCAACAATTAGCATGGTCATATCAAAGGTGAGAAAAACAAAAAATGAGGGTTTTAAATTGTGTTGCATTAAATTCTCTCTCTCTCTCTCTCTCTCTCTCTCTCTCTCTCTCTCTCTCTCTCCCTCTCTCTCAATATTCTCAAACACAAAGAGTATGTGGCAGAAAATAAACAAGTTAATGATAAAGAATCACACACACGATATTTATACTGATTCATCCATTTAGCGAGAGGAAAATCCAATCTCCTCACACTTGAGAGATTTTCACTATAATCACACTTGATTATAAGTAACTACTAAGACAACATAATCTTATATTTATTTACCTCACACTAGAAAACATCATTTCCTTAAACATCTAAGAACTTGTTTGCCTCACACTATAGGACTTTGAAAAAAATTATAAAGTGATTTGTTTACAACAACTCACATAGAATGGTAAACATAATACAACATTATTACAAGTGACTAACTTTCTTAAGAAAAGATAATGAAGAAACGACACTTGTGACATTAATGTTAGTTCTTTGCTAATATGAGAAGTTTTACAAAGCTAACATATATTCCAAATATTTTAGAGACACAACAATAGTATAGGTCAATTATGGTATGGTGTGCACCATTCTACATTTAAAGTTGTCTTGTATGTATGACTTGGTGATTCTGAATTGATGGAAAATTATCCTTGTTAATTAGTTGGCTGTTGGGAGATGAGTCGTTGGAATTGTACTATAACCACAAAATCCTTATCCATTCATTCCTTGTTTTGATCTTTATCATTTTATTCCTTGTACCAACACAACTTCCATGATGTGTTCATTGAGAATATTCTTTGTTGGTGACATATCACATAAGGTCTTTGTCATTGAGATGCAAATGACCAATTTTTCATCTAGGCATTGGTAGTTACTTATGTCGATTATAGATGTTTATGTCTCTCTAGATACAAATGATCATTCTTGCCGTGAGGTGTAAATGGTCGTATTAGCCTTAAAACAAATGTTCAACCATGTTGATTCGAGCACATATGTTTATCCCTTTCTTTAGGGCAAATAACCATGTCCTACTAACTGAGTACAAATAATCATTTAACTAATCTTGTTGACAACTCATGTGGATTGAATTTTTTATAATTACCTTAGTCTTTAAATCTCCTTTTATTATCCCTTGACAATATCTCTGATGGAAGTTCAAATTTGATTCATGTGGTGCAGTTTTTAGAAACCATGCTCCTAACAATCTTGGTTATTTTGCTTTAAATTTAGGTTTTGCTAAGGCTTCCAAGTTATTGGGCGTTATGAATAAGGGTAAAAGATATGCATTTCGTCCCCGAAAAAGCTCTCAAAAAATGAGGCAAGGAAAGACGAGTATAGTTGATGATGCATACCTAAAATCTTGGTCTGTCTGAAAAAAGTGAGGGTAGAATGAGGTGGACATTCAATCTTTGTACCTCTAAGCCTAAAAGTTGTAAAAAAATTCTTATTAATGTCCGCTCCTGCAAAAGTCTGAAAGAAACTAGACAAAACGAGACATACATATTAGATTATGCATACCTAAAACCTTGATCCATCTCTATGAAAATACGCAAACATAATGAATATGTTCAACGAACTGAACCTATTTTATTACCCCTTATCATGAATGTTAGTATTGAACTTGTCTTTCTTAAAAATCGACAACATTTATGGATCGAAAGGGATTCTAGAGTAACTAGTTATCTTTGTTTTTAAGTCTTTATTCATCAACCAATTAAAAACTAATGATATTTTTTCTTTGAGATCCTAACCTCTTTGTATATTTTTTCTTATTAATATATTTATCTTGGTTATACAAAATATTTACACACATATAATTAAAAATATTTAATCATTAAAAATACTTACTTAAATATTTCTCTTAGTTTTAAAAAATATTTACACACATATAATTTATAAACATTTGACAATGATACACATTAAATTCTTATTACAATATCTATAGTTAATGCACTCACCACATAAGATTCTCATTATAACATATACTACTCAAATAAATCAATAATCAACAATTTTGCAAAATATGCTAAAAGCCAATAACCGATTATAACAAAGTAAGAAACATTTTTACCTTTTCAATTCAATTCAAAAGAAACAATACCCACAATAAAAACAAGCAATTAACAATAATAAATCAAAATTCCTTAAAATCCTTTTCCTTTGTCTTCTTCACTTTTTCTTCACCATCTTCCTCTCCTTTTCCTTCTTCTTCGCCATCACCATCTAATCCAGCAACACACCCATTATCTACTACTCTTTCTCCTACACTCACATTACTCTCTTTTTTCACCCCATTTCCTCAAAAATCAAACTTTACACTTTACATTCTTCTTTTCATCCTTCAAATCAAAACCCACCAAGCTTCAGTGTTCATTTCCCTTTTCAGCTTGCGTGCTAAGAAAAGCAAGGAAGAGAAAAAGGAAGAGACTTTCCATATGGGTCATGAGATTTGGTGTGTTCAATTGTTTAACATTCATCAGTTTTTAGCTTAGGTTTTTAATTTGAGGTGTTTTCTATTTACTTAGATCTCTTTTACTTAGAAAATGTCAAGTTTACTTTTTTAGGTTTTTCAGCTGTGATACTATACCAATAACTTTCCTTTGTAGAAGCTTGAACCTTGAAGATTAATTGTGCATTCTTCTAAATGAAGTACTGTTTGGTGTAGTTTGGGTCCCATCTGTGCTTAAAGTTTCAATTTTTAGTACTCAAGTTCAGCTTTTTGCTTTTATTTTGCACAATAGTCAAAAGGGCTTTCATTTTGTAATCTGTTTTATTCCTTTTGAAGTTATACACGGGTCTCAACACTGTCCAATTTCGAGATTCTCTGTTAAATTCATGGTGGTAACTTCCTAGTTTATTGCAAGAGTCTGAAATTTTCATGGTGGTAGTGTGTGGTGGCTTGTTGAGTTTCTGAGCTTTGGACTAAGGTACCAAATTTTGCACATTCTTTTTTCTACTTTTGATTCTATTTGAGAAATTTCTTTGAAGCCCTTCAAATTTGACATCTTAGTTTACCTAATATTTGACTTCAATGTATGTGTTTTTTTGCCTTTTAAGCTGTTTTCATTGACAAAAACCTCTAACTTATCTTATCTCTTTCCACAGGTGTTTGGTGTAACTGTGAGTTTGTGAAACTGAACTCATCATAATATAGACATGCTTCAATTGGAGTGTTTTCTTAGATTAACATTGTTGCTTTGTGTTTCATTTGGCTTCTTGTTACATCCTGCTGTAACAGCTGTAATACCATTAGGTTCCAAACTCTCGGTTGTAGATAATAACTGTTGGGTTTCTACTAATGGCGATTTCGCGTTCGGGTTCTTTAACATTACCAACGAACCTAACCAGTTTAGCGTTGGTATTCGTTTCAATTCAAAGTCTATTCCTTATAGCCAACAAACACTTGTATGGATTGCTGGTGGTCATGTCAAAGTAAGCAACGTATCATATTTCCAACTTACTCCACAAGGGGAACTAGTCTTGTTTGATTCCTTACACGGAGTTACTGCATGGACTAGTGGAACAGGAAACAGATCGGTTGTTTCGGCTGTGCTTCACGACAATGGAAATCTTGTTCTTATAGATGCAAAACAAAAAGTTATTTGGCAAAGTTTTGATAATCCTTCTGATACGCTACTCCCAGGACAGAGATTATCCGTATCCAAGTATCTTCGTGCTTCATCCAAGGACCTAGAGACTAGTTACTATAGTCTTTACTTGAATGCTTCTGGTCGGTTGCAGCTTCGTTGGGAAAGTAATATTGTATACTGGACAAGTGAAAGCCATTCTTCTACTGAAAATCTCACTGCTTCCATCACATCCGATGGATCTTTTCAACTTCAAGACCAACATTCTAAAGCTGTTTGGAGTGTGTTTGGAGAAGACCACAACGATTCTGTGAGTTATCGGTTTCTTAGGCTAGATTTTGATGGCAATCTCCGGTTATATTCATGGATGGAAGATTCGCAGTCATGGGGATCGGTTTGGCAAGCTGTTGATAATCAGTGCAAGGTCTTTGCTACTTGTGGTGAACGTGGTGTCTGTGTCTTCAATGCTTCAGGTTCTGCTGAGTGCAGGTGTCCTTTCAAGACAATCGAAACTAACAAATGTTTGGTTCCGAATAAACAGGATTGTGCTTCTGGTACCGAAATGAAAGTGTACAAGAACATATATCTATATGGAATTTACCCTCCTGACGATTCGATAGTCACAAGTAGTTTGCAGCAATGTGAAGAGTTGTGCCAGAATGACTCCCAGTGTACAGTTGCAACCTTTTCGAACATAGGCAGTCCACAATGTTCCATAAAGAAAACAAAATACATAACTGGCTATGAAGATTCATCTCTAACTTCAGTGTCATTTGTTAGGAGTTGCGCAGATCCATTTGCTGTAAATCTCAGTTTCACAATGTCGCCTCCATCAGAACCGTCTCCTCACAGGCTTTGTGTTTCTTGCTTGGTAGGAGCAGCCTCAGGAACATTTGTCATTGTCGGTTTTGTCCAGCTGGGAATTGTTTTCTTCATATGTAGAAGAAAAGGTTCTACTATGAGAAGAGTCACACTAGCATTCACAGTCCCGAATTCGAAAGGTTTGATGGTGTTATCCTTTGCAGAAATCAAGAGTGTCACCGGAGATCTCAAGAATCAAGTTGGGCCCAATATGTTCAAGGGTGTGCTACCGAGCAATCGTGTAATTGCAATCAAAGACCTGAATGCATCCATAGATGAAAGGAAGTTCCGGAGCGCTGTTCTGAAGATAGGGAACATCCACCACAAGAACCTAATGAAGCTGGAGGGTTACTGCTGTGAGCTCAATCATCGGTATTTGGTCTACGAATATACCAAAAACGGCTCGTTGGACAAGTATTTAGACGATTGCACTCTTTGCAAGAAGCTAACATGGAGAAAGAGAGTTGAAATATGCTCATCAGTTGCGAAAGCAATCTGTTATTTGCATTCGGGGTGTAGGGAGTTTATAAGCCACGGAAACTTGAAATGTGAGAATGTAATGTTAGACGAAAATTCCGCCGCGAAGGTGTCTGATTACGGATTCGCAATAGTTGACGGCGAGGCTACATACTGTGGCTTTTCAGCAGAAAAAGACGTAGCAGACTTCGGCAAATTAGTGTTAACCTTGTTAACTGGGTGTCGCGATCACGAACAAGTCTCCGAATGGGCTTACAAAGAATGGCTAGAAGGAAGAGCAACTAACGTGGTTGATAAAAGAATCGACGGCGGTGCTAATTCAGACGAACTCGAACGTGCATTAAGAATCGCGTTCTGGTGCGTTCAACTCGACGAACATAAAAGACCTTCGATGGAAGAGGTAGTGAGAGTACTAGATGGTACATTGAATGTTGATCCGCCACCACCTCCATTTCATTTGGCATTTGATCCACAAGAGAATGGATCAGAATCAGAAATAGTATCCGTGGTTTAGTGGTGTTTGTTATGTTAAGTTTACAGTTTTGGTTGCCTTCAGATTGAACATGTATAGTATAGGACTAGACTAACATCTAAGGGAAAAATAGGCATGCCCTTTAAATTTTGTCCCTCAAAGCAAGAGGGCACTGATTGTAAAGTTTGAATACCATGTTCATTTGACTTTTATGGCATCTTTCTGATTTTAATTGTTTTTCTGAATATTGCAAACAAAGTTAGTACAAAGAGGGCACTGATTTGTTAACTATTGGTAGTGTTTTTTGAATTTATCCTTCAAACTATTTACTAAAAAACAATAATTATGAATATTTTGGTGAGGAAATAATTGAAATAGTTTACAAAATTGAAAAATGTATGTGAATAGAGTATTTTACATGATGGGTTCGTTTGGATCCAATGTCGATAGTTGACTGAAATACAACTTAATTTTTGAGAAAATTTCAATTTACTGTCCAAAATACATGAAGACTTTTTTGCTTTTCAATTTTAATAAATTTAATTTACTGTGTGGTGTGTGTATATATATATTGACTCAACAAATGTGTTATACACGCCTTCTAGGATTTGAATCATCATCTCTCCTCTTTCATTTTCTGCTTGTTCTAAAATTACCATCGTCGTTCCTTCTTTACTTCTTTCGTTTTCTCTGTGTTTTGTTCAAACATCCTTCTTTCCTACTTTCATTTTCTTATACGTTCAATCATTATCTTCCCAATATTAAAGAATGCAAGCAGTACTTTAATGTCAAACAACCAAAGCTTTGAGACTGTTGAATTTGTGCTTCGTAGAAACAAGAGATGAAGTGTTTTTGCCAAGATGAAAGTGTTCTTCGTATTGTCAATGATATGAATAATGTGAACTATAGGAAAAAAATTTGGGGCTGTAGAAATTATAGAAATCACATGGATAAGAGTTGTAATTTCTTCAAGTGGTTAGATAATTTCATACTCATGAGGTAAGTCATCACTATCATATTCCTCAATGTCACTTAATCCTCTAAAAGTTTCCTTTAAAATCCCACCTTCTTCATTCACATCATCAAGCGAACCACTCCATTCACATAATCCTTCCACTTTCCTATGTTTATATGGTCTCACAACCTTGCCTTTCCTCTTTCCCTTCCCTTTAGCCTTGCCACCCTTTACCTTTAGCCTTGCCCTTCCCTTTCCCTTTGTTTTCAATTCGTTTTCACAAACTACTTCCTCATTATCAACTATCAACTCTCCAACATTTTCTATATCTTCTTCCGAGTCTTCAAAGTTGACATTCAAAGCATTGTCTTCACTACCCTTAAGTTCTTCTTGGTTATCTTCACTACCCCTAACCTCTTCCTCAACCTCCACATCTTTTTGGTTACACTTAACTCCCTCAACTTCTCCTGTATTACAATTTGGTCCCTCCATGTCTGATTGGTTACAATCAACACCATCAGTGGCCCCCTCTACCTCCACATCTTCTTAGTTACAATAAACTCCATCATTGGTTCCCTCCAAATTAACATCTTGTTGGCTATAGTCAACTCTATCAGTGGTCCCCTCTAAATTAACTTCCACTTTAGCACCAATGGTCCTTCCTTGTTCAAACTTGTCATTTTCTCCTTTACTCACATCATCAAAAGAGTCGTTTTCTTCAATATAATGTCCAAAATGTCCCTTTATGCTCCATTTTCATTGGTTACTACATCATATTCTAAGGACAGAATTAACTCTTCAATAAATTCAAGTTGTCATATAGGATGAATGACATAAATGCACTGACCCATTAATCGTTGATATGGTTTTCATTCTCTTGGTTCCCATATCGTCTTTCAACAAAACAAGCTCATTAATATTCATCCCATCATAATACCACAAAATCTTTACAACTGGATACCCTAAGTCCCTTAAACCACCAAACACTTTAAAATAACTCTAGTAATCAGGGCCTACGACCCAAATCTCCTCCAACTCCTTAAGGAACTCTTCGTCTGGAAATGCATAATGGATGTTAGCACTTGTTCAGTATACAAAGGGGTTCAAAAAGTTTCTTTTATTCTCTTTGCTCTTCTTCACACCACTTGTCTTCTCCAACTGATTTTAAGGTTTGAAAGTGATAAAAGGAATGCAACGAGTTTCGTTTCTTCTCTTTTTGTTAAAATTTTATAATTTACATAAACAATTAAAAAAACAAAACAAAAATAAAAAAGTCAGGTCTGATTTTATATGTCCAACAAGACAAATGTTAAAGTTTTTTTTTCTTTTTAAAAACTAACCGCAGACACTATTTCAAATAACAAAATAGTTTTTAAAAAACTACTTTACAACGTTTTTTAGTTAATAGATCAAAGCAAAAGAATTAATTAAATTAAGAGATCAAAACATGCATTACACTTTTTTATAAAATTTATAAACAACACATACACGTTAAATTGAAGTTAAATTTGATTTAAATTGACTAAGAGTTTGATCTTGAGTATAGTTAGAATTAAAAAAAAAACTCTAAATAAGAAAGAAAATTAATTATGATTACATACATAGTTCATCAAATAAACTTTCAAAAAAATGTCTAAAAGGGATTAAAATTTAAAATTAGATTTTTAAGGTCACTTAGAATGCAAACGGTGCTGTGGGACCAAAGGCTGACAAGGAAAATTACAAACCAAAAATATTATATAATTATATTATGGTAGAGTTAGCAATAGAAGATGATGTAGGAATAAATCTATGAAGGAAAGTTATAAAATGAAATATTATCTAATATAATAACATTCAACTCAAAAAGCCCGTCTAGCTCAGTTGGTAGAGCGCAAGGCTCTTAACCTTGTGGTCGTGGGTTCGAGCCCCACGGTGGGCGCTTGTCACACTTTTTCGTTTTAACAGTTTATGAATAACTCGGTAGTCGGTACCATGCAATATATCGATTGAAGCAAAACTAATTTATATAAAATAACTTTTAAATTCAGTATATATTCAAATTCGAAAAAATATTAACAAGTTAAGTTTTTCAATAAGTATATATATTTTTTAAAACTCAATAAGTATGTTTTTTTTTTTTTAAACTCAATAAGTATGTTGATAATAATATATTTTGAACAATATTGTTAACATTTATTTAGATTGAAATTTTTTTTTAAAAATTGATATAAAATCTGCTCAAATATGAAGCGAGTCAGTTACTAATATAATAATACATAAACTCTCGTATCTAAATAAGTGCTAATAATGTTAATAACATACTCACCCTAATCCATACTTGACTTCTCTTCACTTCTAAAATACTTAGAGCAACTTTATTGTATAGTTGTTAAACCAAAATTTTGTATAACTTACGTTAGTAATAAAAAATTTGCATTATAATAGAGCTGAAATGATATTTAAGGGAACTAAAATTTAGTTCCCATCATCTATATAGTTAACGTTAACTATGTGAAATATATTATAATATTATTTATTTAGTTAATAAAATATTTCAACAGCATTAAAGTAATGACATGATATTTGAAAATAGTGGGGTCAAGTTTTGATTTCTTACAGACAACCATCATTAAAGTAAAAACTATTCAAATCAACTATAAATTTTTTAAATCCTACAAAACACTTTGGGCCCACAAAAAATATCTTAGTTTACCCATTTAGTTTACTCCCATTAAAGATGCTCTTATTCAAATTTTTTTCTTTCTTTTTTATATCAATTATTTTTATTGCAAAATATGTATTCGCTAAAAGTATAAATATTTCACAATTTCGAGTCGATAAAGGTTGTTAGAAATTTTAGAGTTGTTAGGGTATTGAGAACTAACTCATATGAAATGAGATGTTATTGTGTATTTCTCTGCGTTATCAGTCTTTTTTTTAGTATTATGATACTGATTTTTTTATATTTAAAATTTGATATAAAATCTCAATACATGCTCAAATATGAAGTGAGTTAGTTACTAATATAATAATACATAAGCTATCATATCTAAATAAGTGCTAATAATGTTAATAACATACTTACCCTAATCCATACTTCACTTCTCTCCACTCCTAAAATATCTACTTACGTTTTTTTCTTTCTTTTTTATATCAAATACTTTTATTGCGAAATATGTATTCGCTAAAAGTATAAATACTTCACAATTTCGAGTGGATTTTTAGAGATTTTAGAGTTGTTAGAGTATTGAGAACTAACTCATGTGAAATGAGAAGTTATTGTGTATTTTTCTGTGTTATCGATCTTTTTTGAGTATTATGATACTGATGTATTTATAGCCCCAAGGGTTATAACCGAGTCTCCCAAGAGTATAAAATTACTACTAGAATGGATAATTGATTCCCTGAAATTCAAGAGGTGTAGTTAAGTCCCACGACATCCTATGTAACATATGTTGACTCCATATATCCCCTATGCACAATCACACATTATGGACGGAGAAAATGGAGGTTCGGGCGACATATATTTGAAAGGGGTGCTCGAACCTGAATGGAGGCACTCGAACCCATGAAATGGAGACTTAGGAAGGACGAAGGACTAAACTGAAGTTGCACGTCTCTAATATGTTTAGGGGGAGATCCACAATACATTTTTGTTGCTTGTCTCTTAAGCTTTTGTTTTGTTATTATTGTTTATTGAGTCTCCTCTTCAAATGTACATCTTTGGATTAAGTTTTGAATCTATTCGTTTTAGCATGCATAATTCAACTGTTTGCATTTGAGTATGATCATTATGTTTTAAGTCAATTGGTTAAGTTAATGGAACAAGAACCATATTTGATGTTGTTTCAAGTTATGCAGGGAACGCAATCTCAAACTATTTTGAAAAACTTGAAAAATTGAGATTTCTTGTGTATGACTCGAATCACTAACAAGTTATGACTCAAATCAAATCAGGCAGTGGCTAACATGACTTGTGTGTCTATGACTCGAATAAAATTTTTAACTTGATTCGAATCATGCAACATTGTGAATTGAATAACAAGTTGCACATGATTCAAATCACACAAGTCATGTTAGCCACTGCCTGATTTGACTCGAATTA